CTGTTTTCCTAATGCATTTCCAACAGCCCCTTTAGTATTCAGTTTTCCTGAACATCCACCAGTGAGTCAGCCAACCGAACATGGAAGTTGGCCTCCATCTGTTCCCAGAGGTCACACATTGGAGCCAGTTTCACACGGTAATTCTATTTGAGGGTTTATAATTGTTTTTATTTTCTTTCATTGCCAATTTTCAGTTGATACTGAGTTAAAGTATTTGATTCCATGACCATTTTTAACAGCCCCAGTTGCACAACCCCCTACAAATTTGCCAAAAAATTCGTCTGTTAGTCAACCAACTCATGGAAATTCCCTCCCTGATCTTCACAATGGAACTGCAAATAATGGTCACACTCACACCCCAGCACAAAAAATGTCACGTATGTTGTTTAATTTTATATAACTGTTGTGATTCTAAACTTCCTTTTTCATGAAAGCACAAAATATATTGCATCATCACACAGAAAATGGAAAATAACCAACAACATCCTTATTTTGATGAAAGAAGGTACAAATTAAAATATCTATATTCTCCCTTTTACTTGTATCATTAATTTTTCTTTTATTTTATCCCTGCAGCATCAGTTGCACCATCAAGTCCATTTCCAGTAGATCCACCATTAGTCCACCCAGTCATACCAGCAGCTTCTCCATCCAAATCACCAGGTGCAAATTTTGAGAAAGGATTTTGTACCATTACCCCCCCTCCCCTGGTTGATTTTGTTGTTTTATTTCCAAATACATTACAGTTGTTCTTTTCTGTTAAAGATTTAATCTTTTCGTTTCCACATCTATAGTCTTTCTACTCTTCGAATGATGAAGGTTTAAAACCAATCTTATGTACAATGTGCATTTTTTTGTTGAATTACAATAGTTATTGATGTCCCACGAATTATATCTCTATCTCCTTTTAACCTCACATGACAAGGAGTTATGAAGTGAGGATTGGATTATGTACCTGAAAAATTGAATTGAGATAAAAAAAAGAATGTGACTGATACGTAATGTTTAGTTTACTTGCCTAATCTTTGCAACATGCAAAGTGGAAAAATAAGCAATAAGCAATATGGCCTAAGTGGTGCTTATAAGGTTTAGTCCGTCCTTATTTTACAAGTCAGATTTGTAAGATTGACCTAGATCGTAAACCTAAATTCCAAATGTTAAAGATTATCAACATTGTGATTTATATCTTCTAAGGTGAGACAAAGGGTGCATCCACATTAAGGGTGGACTCTCCCTTGCTTTCTCGCTTCACACACCTCAATCCCAAGGAGCTAAAACCACAAAGTTGCTAAATATGAAAAAGAATATGCAATCACTGAGATAAATTTAGTTACAACTATTAGCATATATCTTTACAATGGAGCATCTTTTACCACATTGGAATACAATAATTTCTTCAGCGTTGTTAGTTCTATTGTGCATTAATTTAATTAGCACAAAAAATTTGTTGCAGCACCTATTGTCTCTCCTGCATTGACTCCTTCCAGAAGCTTTAGTTGGAAAAAAGGTGGAGAACCAGTTTCTGCACCAGTGTACAAAACACCAAAGCCACTACCGGCTATAGTACATTCCCCTACTCAAGGTATATGATAACATTAAACTATTTTTGATGAGTCACATTCTTCTAGAGGATTGCCTATTCTACTTACAGGATCAATCCTTCTTCAATTGATGGAAATTTAATTAGCACTAAACATTTGATGCAGCACCGGTTGTCTCTCCAGCATTAACACCTTCTAGAAGCTTCAATTGGAAAAGAGGTGGAGAACCAGTTTCTGCTCCTCCATACAAAACACCAAAGCCGCTACCCGCTATAGTACATTCTCCTACTCAAGGTATACAGTAATATTAAACTGCTTTTTATGAGTTTCCATTTCTTAACTAGAGGATTGCTCATTGTATTAATAGCCTGAATAAAAACAAGATTACCCTAACAATTCTGTCAAAAACCTACTCTTCCAAAAACCTTAGCTGGTTAAAGACCAAGAAAGACTTTATTCTAAACGCTTTCCTTCACACGAGTTCATTTGGCTTAAAAGTGGACATTGAACATTAACGTTTTATCATGTATTGAAATTCTATTTATTTCATATTCAATGGTAATGGCAAAGTTTTGAACTCAAGAACTCTTTGTCATAGAGACTCCAATATCATGTGAAAAAACAACCCTCTTTAAAGTGGGTAAAGGAGCACATGAATGATTTTTTAAGTCTAACAAATACAGAGTTGACATAAAGCTTGAATTCTTATGGAAATGTAATTTTACCTTTTTTTAAATTATCTTATCAGCATTCTTTTTTATCATCTCCAATTATTTACTATCTAAACCTAAAGCTTTAGAAGATGGAAAACAATACAGAAAACAAGGAATGTAATTTTAATTATTAAAATACTCACTAAACCAATATATTTATGTACGCATACTGAGTTAACTTTATTATTTTCTTTTATGCCGTGGTTCCTCCTTCTGCATATGTAGCAAGGCAATTTCACTATGCTCCTGAACCATCTCCTAACAAAGATTACCCTCCTGCATCTTCACCTTCAACCACATTCTATAAGCATCACCACACAAGGAACACAATCAGAAGCCCTGCTCCTGCATCATCATATTCAGTTTCTCCTTCCACTTTAAAACACCAAGGTTTGTTTTATTAATTAATCAATATAATTGTTTCACACAAATTCCGAAATTCACTACAATTGAATATATTACTTTTTGCTTGGTTATTTTATGTAGATGAACCAATTCCTCCCTCACGGTTGCCAGCAAGTAGGCAAAGACAACATGCTCCATCACCATTGAACACAGGTACATAAAAAGTTTTGGTGAGCTTATAACATGTTTCTTCTGTTAGACTGATAAATAAATAAATAAAGAAATAACAGGAAATTTAATCACTGAAACTTTTGTTCACAGAAGGTTCAACAGTTTCCCCGTTTCAGTCACCAGTAAGCCAGATTTCACCAGCTCCTTCTCCATCCTTCAAAATACTCCCTCATTCAACCAAAAGTAAGAAAGACTAAACTTGTATACTCATTGCATACATTTTAGAAGTCTGGTCTTTTCAGTACCATCTACTTATCCTTTTGCATCCATTTATTGTTTTTATTATTGCAAGTTCCAATTCATCCTCCCGAGGTATCTCCTTTTCGGCCTTCTTCCAAGAGCCCTAAGAAGCCGATCCTACCTCGTAATCAAGCACTACCACCGCCACCTCCCAATGAAGGTTAGTTAATAGTTAAGGTTTTATTTGTTTCCTCTCTAGTAAAAGAGTTATTTCTGCTAGTGTACGTTCTTTTTGCCTAGTGTCTTCATCAAACTGAAAAATAAATGTCTCTTCTTCATTTTTTTAGATTGTATATCACTGGTTTGCTCAGATCCTTATACAAGTACTCCACCTGGTGCACCTTGCAAATGTGTGTGGCCCATGAAAGTCGGTCTTCGCCTTAGTGTTTCTTTGTATACTTTCTTCCCTTTGGTTTCGGAGTTTGCTTCTGAAATTGCCATTGGGGTTTTCATGAAGCAAAGTCAAGTTCGCATTATGGGAGCTGATGCAGCAAACATGCAACCTGATAAAACTATTGTATTCATTGATTTGGTACCACTTGGGGAAAATTTTGATAACACTACAGCCTTTTTAACTTCTGAGAGATTTTGGCATAAACAGGTTGCTATAAAGACTTCTTACTTTGGTGATTATGACGTATTATATGTGAGCTATCCAGGTATATTTAAATTTTGAATGTCTTGTACCCTCTTCCTGACTTTTCTTGTTAGAAATTTATGTGGCTCTTTCAATATAGGTTTGCCTCCATCTCCTCCTTTACCTCCTTCAAGCATTACAATTGTTGATGGCGGTCCATATTCTGGCGGTGGCAATAACAGTAGGACCATAAAGCCCCTTGGGGTTGACATATCAAAGAGGCAGCATAAAGGTGGAATTAGAAAGGGCATGATTGCTGTTATTTCTCTCTCAGTTTTTCTAGTAGTTGTTTTATGCTTTGCTGCTGCTTGGTCCTTGTTCAAGTTCAGAGATCATTCAAGTAAACTGGCATCAACCCCACATGTTCTGTCTCCTCCACTTACCAAAGCTCCAGGTAATACAATAATAGTGTCTTGAAATCTGGTCAAGTAGTGCATTTTTCATGTTATAAACGTTGTCTTGGTTGATCATTTATAAAAAAAAAAACGCTGTATTCTACAAAAAAAAAAAAAAAGAGAGAGAAAAGGTGTATAAACGCTGTATTTTTTTCCTATTAAGAAAAAACAATACAAATTTCACAGGTGCTGCTGGATCAGCAGTTGGAGGCAGGCTTGCTTCAGCTTCAACATCATTCCGGTCTAGCATTGCTGCTTATGCAGGATCTGCTAAGACTTTCAGCATGAATGACATTGAGAAAGCCACAGATAATTTCCATGACTCCAGAGTACTTGGAGAAGGTGGCTTTGGGCGTGTTTATAGTGGTGTACTTGAAGATGGGACAAAAGTGGCAGTCAAGGTTCTGAAAAGAGAGGATCATCATGGTGACCGTGAATTCCTATCTGAAGTAGAGATGCTTAGCCGGCTTCACCATAGAAACTTAGTTAAATTGATTGGTATTTGCGCAGAGGTCAGCTTCCGGTGCCTGGTTTATGAACTCATTCCAAATGGCAGTGTGGAATCCCATTTACATGGTACTTAACTAGCTTAGTCTCAAATACCATTCCAATAATTAAGTTCTTTAAGTTAATGATTTTTCTTACATTTGATCTTGTTCTTTGGTAGGGATGGACAAGGAAAATAGCCCCCTTGATTGGAGTGCTCGGATAAAGATAGCACTTGGCTCTGCTCGTGGACTGGCTTATCTGCATGAAGATTCAAGTCCTCATGTCATACATAGGGACTTCAAGTCTAGTAATATCTTGCTGGAAGATGATTTTACTCCAAAAGTATCTGATTTTGGATTAGCCCGAACAGCAGCTGATGAGGAGAACAGACACATATCAACACGTGTAATGGGAACTTTTGGGTAACAGACTTCTTTCTTTCCTTCTTTTCTTTGGATATGTTTATGTACAAGTTACCTCCTCTTATTAGTACCTCTTAAGTTTATCTTATCACTTACTTAATAAATTTGTGTGGGTTTATTGATTAGATACTTTAAAACTAGAACCCTATCAATTTAGTCAAATGAAGTAATTTCTTAACCATGTCTAAGAACATTTGCTTCTGTAGCCATTTGCTTTTTAACCACGTCCAGTTATTGGTTGAAAACTATTTTAATTATTTGCTGTTATACTATTATGCATTCCCTGAATAAATTTTCTTTCATATTTGAAAAACAATTTCAGTTATGTGGCTCCGGAGTATGCAATGACCGGCCACCTTCTTGTGAAGAGTGATGTTTACAGCTACGGTGTTGTCCTCCTTGAGCTCTTGACAGGAAGAAAACCAGTAGACATGTCACGACCGCCCGGTCAAGAGAATCTCGTTGCATGGGCTCGTCCATTGCTCTCAAGCGAAGAAGGAGTGGAAGCAATAACAGATCCATCTCTGGGACCTGATGTGCCTTCTGATAGTGTGGCTAAAGTTGCAGCCATTGCTTCTATGTGTGTACAACCAGAGGTTTCAGACCGTCCTTTTATGGGTGAGGTTGTTCAGGCTTTAAAACTAGTGTGCAATGAATGTGACGAGGCAAGAGAAACAGGCTCAAGTTCTACCTCTGTTGATTTCAGTCATTCTAGACAAGTATCAGATAATTTTCAAGGCCAATCCTCAGCCACCAATTATGATTCTGGAGTTGATATTGAAAATGGGCTGTTGGCATCAGAGTTATTCAGCTCATCATCCGCAAGATATGGAAAGCGAGTGTCAGGATCATTTAGAAGGCATTCTTATTCAGGTCCTCTTAGTACTGGAAGAAGCAAACGGTTATGGCAGATAATTAGAAAGCTTTCTGGTGGTAGTGTCAGTGAACATGGAACTATGTTCAAGTTATGACCAGGGTTCAATTGAGCCAAATTGCAATTTTTGAACTTGCTATGTGCATACTACTTCTCTTATCTCCTTCACTTTGTTAATGTGCAGTTCTGAACTCTGCTAGAGGCATTGCTCTTCTCTGCCTAAGCCCTTTGAAGTTTGACAAGAGAATACAATCAACTTGTAAAGTGGTGTTGACATGTTTCTCTGCTAACCTGCAAAACCATGTGTACGTAACTATACTAACTCTTTGAAGAGAGCAAGCAATGCCAATCTAGCTTGAAAATAGAAGATGACTGAAGATGGCCTTTACTAAGACCCAATGGCAATGCAATGCAACATACAAAGTGTAGTCTTTGCAGTTGCAGCATCAGGAGTATAATGTTGAATGTATTTAGAGGAGGAGATCAATGAAATATAGTTCATGTATTCCGAAGATATGATTCTAGAAATTCGGTTCCAGAAATTTGATTCTGAAAATATAATTCTGAATAGCTTATTCTGGAACTTTTCCGAAAAATATATTCGGGAAGTCATTTTCTTGAGATGGTAAAATGATCATTGATGAGGGGCGTGAAGAAATTGATGGGTGCAGGAAGTAAAATCTCTTATTTGGGTGTATAGACTTGTCCATGTGCTAGGGCGTTTGTTTTCTGCACTTCACTGATTACTTTTTGCACCATTCAAAATGACTTATAGAAACGCGGAGTTAGAGTGAAGAGTGTCAGAGAAAAACTCAAAATGTCCAACTTATTGATTGTTTCATAAATTTAGGTTTTTGTGTTTCACACCAAAACTTGGTTTCATGTTCATCATCTTTATTGTCACACCTCTCTTTTCATCTTACCTCTGCTTGTCATTGTGTTCTGTTGTTATTCTTGTTTGGTCTTGAGTTCTCACCTTGTGTTCTATTATCGTTGTGCCATAACATCATTTCACCTGTTTGAAATGTTTGGGGTCATGTTACATTACCTCCTCCTCATGCATTTTTGACTTCTTTTTCATGTAAGGTTTTGGATTAGGGTGTCACATTTTGTGGCTTAATTTAATCATGGGTTTATTATGATTTGGCTTCATTGTTGGGTTATGTTTATATACAAGTTTTAAGATGTATGGAAGTAATTCAAATTCTATTGATGTTAATGTTGTT